CCAAACAAACGGACAAGAAAGTCAGGGCATACTTATCAAATGTCTGAAGCTGTCGAGACTCGCTCAGTCCTGCAAGTTGAGGTACGCATCAGATGCCTGGAGCCTTTGACGCGGAAGCACCTGCTTGTATAATCGACAGGGAACAATTGGGAACAAGTTGCAACGTGACACCGAAGCGTGCATTCAAAGCAACAACGCCTAACAGACACACTGGGCCGATCGACAGGACTCATAATTAGCAACACGGCACCTACGATAACTCCTGTGAATGCAGTGGTGGGTTCACGTGAGATTGTTCTGTTTCGATAATTGTCTTTCGATGTGTTTGCGGTTGCCTCGGCTCTTGCACGATTTGTGGAAGGATCTGGTAAGACACTTTCTGGAAGACTTCGAGAGTTTGGCCTGCTGGAGCAAACTACAAGCTTGGCAGAATCCAGCTACGACATGTTACGACAATCCCCCCTCCTCCGACGATGGTTCAGCTCACTGATTCGTGCACCGAAGGTAGCGCTTTAAACTGGTTACGACCTCAGACTTCTTGTGACCGGTCTCACGACAAGCGATCCACGAGCATCGATTGCAAGCAAAAGTGCACAGCACTCCATCGACTCGCTCCGAAGATCTCTCATAGTCCGGGAAGCGTCGCAGGACAAGCCAGCAGCTCTCGGGGCCACCAAGCCCCGAGTCCCCGAGCTCAGTCTCGAATCGAGGGATCAAAGGATTCAACACTGACCAGGACGTCGCGAAATTAAGCCGCTGACACTGCCCCTTCCAAGCAACAGGCCAAATCTTACTGAAACGATGAGGAAAGACGAAGGACATGGAGTGCGTAAAGAACAACTACTGTACGGACTGCGGACTCACGAGACATTGCGAAACATTTGAGTTGCCCTCAACTTCGCTCGGCAACCGGAGCTTTGTGTTCATCATGGTTCGGCTTCGCCCGAGACACTTACTTCGCAATCCGTGAGGCCATTCACTCCTTACAGAGACTTTCGTCGAATGTCACATGCATGCGTTTTGCTATCATCCATAGAATCTTAGCAAGAGCTCCTGCCAGCATTTGTAAATTTCGCTGCATGTACATGTTTTGAAGGAACGCAAAGGAGAAGGAGAACGATCACTTTGAGGACTCCCCGACGATAGCTCATCCCTACCGCTCGTTTGGGCTGCTGTGCTCTCAAGCTGTGCTGCACTCTCACTCGAAGTGAAAAGCTAACATAACGAGACAGTCCTCGAAATTCCTGTGTACAATGAAGGAAATCCGCGAAAAGTCCGAAAGCCAAAGAACCCGAAAACACACCGAAGAGTGCAAAAAGCGAAGTGCTTCGGGCTGACGTGACATCTCCCTTCATACAGACCGGGATACCTCGTATCTTGGAATTGCACGATCGTCTCCATCATTTTTGACGACGACGCCGGATGCTGCCTGAAGTCAATTTGAATGCAAGGTAAGAATGATTTTCCTGCAACCTGGCATCTGTATTCCTACCGCCTTTCGCCCATGAGCAGCATGGAGACCGCGGCTTCGAGAATTTTGTTTCAGCAGCATCTGAAAACTCTACTTTGAAGTCGCAAGTCTTGCAGTACATCTGCAAATCGCATGACAAGCTGGATACTGTAGCCTGCGCCCTGTTGCGTGGTGCAGACAGCAGCATGGTCAGCCAGCCTTGAACTCCTCCGGCAGCCAAATGGCCTGCTTGTCCTGCGAGGCTGCTGGAAGAAGGCAGGTCAAGACATGTCGTGCAGAGCATGGACCCTGCTCTGCTGCCCTACTGGCCTTCTTCTTGGGCTCCCTGACGGCGACCTTCATGTTCGGAGGAGCCTGATAGAATTATACGAGTGAACCGCCTAGTGTCGCAGAGAAGTAGCTTCATACACCACCTATACAGCTTCTGGAGCACACGATGGAACAAGCATAGGCATGTATCGAAGTGACGGCTTGCATCAAAGCGGCGTGACATGCTGCGACGCACCCCCCCCCCCCCCTCCCCCACCGTTTCGCCTGGCTGGGCTTGCCGCCTGTCCGGGCAGCTGGATTCACAGAGGGTGGTTTGCCTCAGCTCCCAAAGGGTTGAAGCCGCCTCAAGCCTCAAGCCTGCTTAGAACCCGGTGCTTCGGTGAACGAGCCCGATGCTGTTTTCATCCTGCTCCTCCTCAAGGAAAATGCAGCTTCAGAGGTGCGGAACATTTCTGAAACTTTCATGAGCCACTGCAGAGTTTGACGTTCTCTGCATGCTTGTTGACATTCTCCTCCTTGGATACGCCCAGAAGATCCATCAAGCTGTGCATCTGCTCAGCCGTCACACCTCACTGAGCGCAGTTGCCAGAGGCAGGTTTAACAGAATACAAGCCTGGATCCAAGGAGGATCGATCCGATCGCTCATGCCTTTCGAGCCTTGGCTCTGGACAAGCCATTGAGTCCCCACATGAAACGGTCGATTGCAGATGAGATGCCCAAGAAAAGCCATGGCACCGACGCCTGCCTGGGTGAATCGACAAAGCACTGCATGGGCTGACACACTGCACTCAATTATGCACGAGCCTGTACAATCGTCTCCAAGGTTTGCCCAATGGCTTCTGAACCAAAGTAGCATGCAGCACCAAATTCAAGCTGCAATCTCACAAGGATGCAGATGGCAAAGCAACGTACTGAACTCGTGGTTCACAAGCAAATGCAATGGCCAGACTGAACTCACGAATAGGCAGGTTGGGAACGATCCCAGAATGGAACCGACAATCTGTGCTACTGCTACATACTGTGCGAGTTTGCTGGCATTGTGTCGGCAGTGAAGTGCTCAGAATGCCTCTAGCGGTTTGCAAAAATTATGTTGCCAGGCTGAAGACTGCGCACCACTCTCCATAGCCGAGCGTGGCGGGATGGCCCTCGCCGGGTCATGCGATACTGGCACAAAGACCTTAAGCGTAACTAAACAGTCTCAGCATGTCTCAGCTAGCAACTGTGAGGTGCATGCAGCCACTACGAAGGGGTCACGCTTTCTTCGCGTGCAGGGATGAACCATGCATGGAGCACGGAAACACTAAAAATGTGATTCCAGCTCTCGGCATTCTACGGTGCATTTTCTTTGTGCAACGTCTGATGGAAAGATTCGTGCAAATCCACGGCTCGGGGCAGGAGATAAGAACAGCGTCAATCGTGACCGTACACAGCTTCAAAGCTCATGACGACATGATCTGTTTATGCCCAGGGCGATGCCAAAAAACTAGGCACAGCGACAGCTGCAACATGCAAACTTCGGGTTGCACAAACTGTGCCGTGACGCCGCCAGGTCCCGCGGCTCAAGCGAGGTCGACATCAATCATTCGCCTGCAGGGCCAAGTAGTCTGCAGAAATCTGCTCCGTGTTCTGTTTGTTGCAGGCAGTTGCGAAATCGCAGGGCATGATGAGTTGTGCACAGAACTCTCAGAATACGTTGCCATTCTGGCGCTGTGTTCGCTCGCTTGTCCATGCCTATGCATTAAAGCGGGGGCAACAAACGGTTGCATAACGGAGATGCGAAGCAGACTAAACCTGTGTTGTGCAATTGCTACATGGTTATGACTCTACGGATGACGAGCTCCTCCTCCCCTTCGCAGGATGCTGGGCATGGGAGATTGCATGCTACATGCAGTTTAACAATGAAGATGAAGATGTCGCTGATGGTGAATGTGATGATGTGCTGATGATGACAGCCTCAAGTTTCGAAGTCGTCAACAAGCGCACGGCCCACGGTCAAAACGCTGTAAGGCCAAAATGTGGCTACTAATGTCAACCCTCTGCTGTCATCTGCTGCCTCGTTTCTAGTCTCCTAGATTCCTAGACGCTCAACTTTTCCTGCTCTCCTCTCAGCTTGGGCCAGCGTGTCGACCGTGGGCTGTGCACTTGTTGACGACTTCGAAACCTGAGGCTGTCATCATCAGCGCATCATCAATAAGGGCATCATGAGCCTGCCTCATCAGCCTCATCATCATCACATCACCATCAGCGACATCTTCATCTTCATTGTTAAAATGCAATCTCCCATGCCCAGCATCCGGAAGTCGTCATCGTAGAATCATAACTATGACGCAATCATCATCAACATCAGCATCATTATCATCACCATGAGCAGCACCATCTTCTCTCAGCAGCTCAAGCAGCATCATCGTCAACATCGTGATCAGAGGTGCACATTCAACACATAATCATCACCATGGGTGCGGGAGGAGAGAAGGCTTTAGGCCAGGAGTGAGCAGCATCACGCAAGGAACCACGACACGCAGCGCAATGATCCGTCTGGCGAAGAAAATCATCACACCTGGGGCAATTCTGCGATGGCTAGTCTCTCATGCCCAGTTGCCCAGTACAGCATCAGAAGTTGCACGGTCGTGCTGTGGATTAACAGCATCATTGATAGCAGTACCGACATCGGCGCTGCTATCTCCTTCAACATCACACTCGGTCATATCACCAGCATTATTACCATCATCATCATCATCATGATCACCATCACCAGCAGCAGCAGCAGCAGCAATACTGTTATTTACAACAACACAACATCAGCGGTGAAAATAACATGTCGACTCTGTCAATGTGTGTCTCCTGCTGAGGGCTCTGGAAGTTCACCGCGTCTGGATTGCTAGTCTGGCTGTAATCGAGACTGCTGCCCGACGAGGTCGGCCCGAGAAACTTACATCAGAGGGCAGCAGGGCGGTGGCAGGGAGGTGGCTTGGACTTGTTTTTCTGTTGTGAAGTCTGTTGGAGTTGCGCTGGCTTTTGCAAAGTACAGGAAAACACGAATTACAAAGTTTTGAAGTAGATACTTTTCACTTTTCACTGTCAGTAGATCGCCAGGTGCGAAAAGTCCCCAGAGCAAGGAACAAACATACAGAGGGAGTTGAACTGAAACGAAGGTTCCCATGCCCATGCTGCACAAGGAGAGCACACCACGTAACAGTCCATCCGATTGGGCAGGAGGTGGAAAAGGGGAGGGTGCTGCACTGTGCTGCAACACTGCAAGTCACACCATGCCTGCATCTGACAAAGCAGATGTCAGCGATCTCGTTGATCTTGCTTCAGCAGGCAGTGCATTGCGAAGCTCTTCCTAGAGAAAGCAGCCAGTTTGCAATGCGAACAACGGCCAGGCACCACGGTCTTTCGCATCTGCGGCTGTTACTCTTATTGCTTCTGCCCTCCTCCGCTGCTGCAATAAGCTCTCGGTCTCCAGATGCAGCACATAAGTCCATTGCCTCAGATCTGACGCCCGGATTCTGAAGGAGTTCTACGTCATGCCACAGGTACAGTCGCATCTGCGCAAGCTCTAGCTATACCTGCAAAGGGGCATGCGTGAAATGCTGTAGGGCTTCCGGAACATTTCCAAGGCCTTTGGCAGCAACCGAAGAGCTCTGCATCCATTTCACCGGCCCCCTGGCCTATCTGTACTCTCCCCATCTGCACATGGATACACGGTTCGCGCGGAGCCAAACCTGGAGTCTACGGCCAGGGCCAGGCGAAGGTTGGACTCATGTTGAAACGATTCTCGGATCCTGACATCTGGCTTTCACGAGCTCATCCGCAGCCTGAGCGCATGGTTTAGTTCAAGGGCACGGAGAGACGACGCTTCGACTGCGACTGCTGCCTTGACGTGCTGCTTTTGCGAGGACAGGATGCATGCCTCACAGCTGCGCGAGCAGAGGCTAGCAACTGCGACATCCATGAGCAGCCTTTTGAAACAATGCCAATGCTCGGCAATGGCTGCTCTCGACCTAAAGGCGAAAGATGGTATCACTGCGGCATGTTGCATGAATCAACTAGGATCCCGGCTGCGCGATTGAAAAGTTGCAAAGCCCGCTGTGGCTCCCCTAAGGCCTGCTGGGCTGGGCTCGCAACTTGATTCTCCTACCCTGCACGTGAGGAACACGGGACAAGACCCGTGTTGTGACAGGGTTTACATGCACAACAGTGTGTAACGATGTACATCTGCAGATTTAGACAACAAGCCTGCAGCACCATGCCGAGGGAAGTTCGCAAGACCTGGTTGGAACCATTGATCTCCACCTGGCCAAATTGCACTGCAGGTTGGCACCTTTCAAGATGAAAACTGCATCCAGGACATCGAAAATTGAAAGATGACCGAGGCTTGGTGTAAGATGCTTCTGAGCCCTATCCGGTGGCCGCTATTGGATCCACGATCTTCCACGTTTTGCTCATGGGTTCTGATCGCTGGGGGCCTGTATGGATGGTCTTGGACTTGCTCATCTCTCTGGTTGCGGGCATTGCGAACAATGCTTGATGATGCATGTGATGCTTCTGTGTTGCGGAATGCACGAGGAAGCGGCCACCACGAATTGTGATGCTGAAGTGTTGATGGCGCCCTTGCATAGATTCGGGATGGGCTTCGCTGAGAAATGGCACGGCTTTGTGATGCTGCCTGGCGCATCTGGTTTGCCGCATGCAGTGTCAGAGCATTGTGTTTCCTAAGAGGTCCTTAGAGCCTTAGACCTGGGAGGACAAGCGACAGAATCAACTTTTGCAGGCTCTTCCATCTACCATAGGCTATAGGGGCTGCAGCACCTCTCATTCCATCAAGCTCTGAAGCGCGAAGAGACTGGCCCACTTGATGTCAGCTTCGCAACTGCGGCGGGCTCACAGCTCGCAGAAAGTTGTACTTGGCCTGTACCAAGTCTTCCTGGCCGGCGCAACACACACCTGGGAGTGGCATGATCCTTGCAGTTCGCAATCGCCGTCCTGGCTCTGACAGACCCTCCCAAGGCCCCACCATGCACCATAGTTCCGTGGATCCACATCGATGGCGCTGCGGTATTCCTGTATGGCCTGCACGGAACAGCAGTGTGAAGTTGCAGAACAGAAACGTTCATGCGGGCATGCATGTGCCTTGTCATACTTCTCCAGGGCTACAAGCTCGTGGCCAAGCAAGGTACGCGCCTAAAGCTGCAAGTAATGCAAGTGGGAGTATCGAACCCAGCCGCATTCTCAGCGCTTGACATAAGCATGCTTCGGATCCAGTTGAATGGCCTCGCGGTGGCCATCACACCCAGAGATGTCAGAAGCCAACGATTGACACGCAACTCTTGGCACCAAGCCCTTTCAAAGCATCTGACCGCCTCATAGTTTGGCCAGATGCTGCCGCTGCTCACACAGTGCATTCCAGCGTACATTCCATCAGCGCAGAAGGTAAAACGGGAGCGCAGTCAGAGCGGCTCCCTCTTTCCACAGCTGTGCCCAAGCAGCTTCAGCGAGATGCTAAGACATGCTGAGACTACCACCGCCTGATGCTAGTGGCGGTCTATTCTGATCCTGTCCTGCATTAACAACGGGCTGCGGCATTTCAGCGGATGGTCATGAGAACTCCACCTCATAGGTCAAGCGTGGAATCCAACGCACCGCAGTCTCGCGCATCTCTCCCCCGCGCTCACCCCTAGCGATCTCCAAATTCTGCTGCTGAGTCCTCAACCTCTCGTGACCCACCTCTCAGCTGAAGCCTTAGTGACAAAATCCCTTCGTCTTTTTTAGTAGTAGTAGTAGTAGTAGTAGTAGTAGCAGTAGCAGTAGCAGTAGCAGCAGCAGTAGCAGTAGTAGTAGTAGTAGTCGTCGTCGTCGTCGTCCTTGGGACGTTTATAGGATGCACAGCTTCAACCGAAAGTTGTCGTGGCGTTGTTTATGCTACTGGGCCCACTTCATGGGACAGCTGCAATGACTGCACATCTTGCACTAACGTTGACGGTTCGAGTAGTGGCTTGCACACCTCTTGCTTCTGTGGATGCTTTCAACAGCCTTGCGACGAAGAACATGTTTAGTGACATGCAACTTCCGAATGTGGGAGCTTAACTCCTGCCATGCATGGCCTGTCACGGATGAAGTTGGAGCAGGTTGGCACTTTTTGGCTTTGAAAAACTAGTTGTCGGTTCCTCATCTGCAGTGGGCTTCCTCCAAGTTCCAGGTTGGGATCTCTGGCCTAGCTGTTCATCTAATGAATCTGTCCAAAAGTCGGGTCGCTGACAAAGGACCTCAGGTTGAAGGCCTTCGTGGTGTGTCGTTCAAGACCATCTTCATCTCCGCAGAGATATGCTGTGTCCGGTGAATGTTTGCATCAACATCCCACATTCAATTTACATGCGCTCCCTTAAGTGTCCTGGATCAAACATCCTCAGCAAACATGACAAATTTGTCCATAAGCATGAGCAGCAGAAGTCAGTCCCCTCAAAGCTGAGAAAAAAAGATTGCGGCTTCTGTCGCCCTTCTGAGCAGATGGCGCTTGTCGAAGCTCGGGGCCCATGTGCTGTCCACCGCAGTACTCCTCCGCTCCGAGCACTCTGACAAGCAACTTCCGAAACGCATAGGAGCAGTAACAGCAGCCTCGTCCCTCATCGCGCAAATGAAGAGAGTCGTCAGTATCGCATCGTAAACTCCGACCTGCAAGACCAAACTGCGGCTACGCCTGCGAGCTTGTGCTTAGATGAGCTTATATACGCTTGCTGAACGGTTGAGACTCGGAAGGGGTGTTCAAACGGAAGGCAAACCGTTGCACTGTTTTTCAGCACCGCGCCAGGATCGACCCGAATGCGTGATGGTGCGTCTACACTCGTCTTCGAAATCGGAAACAGGAAGACAAACGCACGACAGCCGACCGGCTCTGGGATCCCATGATGTTCCGCATGCGAGGCTTCGAGTGCATCATAATCCTTATCTCTGTTTCGGCTTCGGCCTCTTTTGCACACAGAAAACGTAGGCACTGGAATCGCTGGGACAGTCAAGCGCACTCAGATTCTTGCATGCTAGTTACTTGGGAACAAGTCGGGCAGGCTTCTTGGTCTCGGACTGACATGCGGGAGATGATGTACGCAAGGATGATCACGCAAACTGCGACTGGCCTTCTCATCAGCAAATCACAAGTTCGTTGCTCAGGAGGAGCAGTTGCGCTTCTACTCTGAGCAAGGAACTGAAAGTTGACCCAACTGTCTCGCAGCTCGAAGAAAGCGGCGAGTACCTGCCAGTGTACTTCAGACTATTCTCAACATCCTTGCTGCCGAGTACTTTCTGCACATTGCCCTTTATTCACTGTGTCTGATGCAAACTGCTAATTTGCATTCGGGTGCAAGTGCAAATGGCACGCCGATGCACACGAGAAAGCCCAGCCTTGACATCGACGCATGAAGAATCCGACTTGAAAGCATCTACACAGATAGCTACGACGACAAATCTCTCAATGAAAGCTCTGGCTCTGGCACCACCGATGTCAAAGTGTTAAGAGCGACCTGCTGCTGGAGATGAATCATTTAGTCAAGAAAATCACGACCTGCGGGTCTCCAAGCCGCAGGAGCTGCTTCACAATAACTGGCACAACCACCCGCTTGTGAACAATGCACCGCCCTGCAGTGGACCTTTACAAAATACTACGGCTAGTTTTTGATTGGCATGGCAGCTATCCAGAAATCATGACACTGCGCTGATCGCAACATTCTGTGCCTGCGCAGGGTACTTGGTGAAGAGTTGAAACCTTCGCGCACCAAAGTGGATGAAGGAGTGGCTGTCCTACTGGTGGCTGATACACATCATGAAACTGCCCTTGGCACCCTGCGATTTGCATGCTGATTGGCAAAAAGGTTCTCCTAGTCCACAAAACCCAGAGTTCCGAGAAACATGTGTTTCTGTGAAGTGGCCAACTGGTCCTATGACGGCCACGTACATGTACGCGTACTCTGTCACAAATTGCAAGCCTTGCAGTTTCAAAGTCCACACGGCTCCAAGTCGAACTTTACACGAACTGCAGATGGGTGCGCGACAGCAGTGAAGCCAGCTTAAACAACACCTGCGGATAGAAAAGCGACATGCAAGAAAAGGTGCTGGTGCGATGGTGCGGAGATGTGGAGGGTGGAGGCAAGACTCTCGGTCCTGGCCTCGTCGCACACCGCACAGCTGCGGCCAAAGCCTGGTTTTGGGGGGTTCCTTTCCATACCCTCGTTGGAGGGTTGTTGCGCCACGCATGTGATCCAATTGAATACACAAGTTCCCTGAAGATGGCCCACGGGCTGCCTGCCGATCTTCCACATGATCAGCATTCACAGCATTAATGTGGTTCTAGATTTGGCCCGGTTTTTGGAAGCTGACCTCGAACCCGCGTACAAGTACCAAGCAGTTCTCTTTCAAAGTTTGGCTTTGAGCAAGTGCCAAGTATTGCGAGTGGCCTTTCGTCCGCTTTCTTGGAGGATTCCTTGGACCTATAAGCACTCAGTTTGACTTTCCCTAATCGGGTTCTTTGGGGACGGCGTCGCATTGCATCGAGGCCCTTGTATTGTAGGCATTGGAGAGGCAAGAAATAGTACAGTCAAACACGAGCCCTGGCCCTAGACACTTGCCCATCATCCGAGCAGAAAATCAGGAAGTCTTTCTCGGTGCTTCTTGTACGAGACAAGGAGACCCAAACAAGGAGGGGGAAACTGTCGAAGCCTGTCGAAGGCGAAACGATGTGTCTTGTGACTTCACATCTTGGTCGCCAGCATTTTGTTCGCCGGTTTCTTTGGCATGCCTCTCCACGTACTCAAGCCTGAAGACTGGACAAAAAACTGAGTTACTTGAGTTATGCCAATCTGCAGGTGGCTGCAGGACAGGACTGTATGCGACTGTGCTTCCCGCACCAGTCGCGGCACGGTGCAAGCCTAGCGGCAACTCATGAGCGGAATAGCCACAGTTTGTGCTACTGCACGACATACAAAGATCGGTACGTGTGCGCTCATCGGTCGCTGACTGCGCTCAGGGCCACACAGTCAGGGCAAGCGCGCCGAAGGCCAAAGAGCCAACATGATATCGGAAGGCCTGGCTGCGGGCGATGAAGCGATACCAGTACTGGTCAGCTAACTGGGAAGTACATGCCTTTCCTGCAAAAGCGAGATGGCAACCGGGCCACCCAAGCCTGATAGCAAGAAAAAAGACAAAGCACGAGCGGCTTACCGGGTACAGCAGACTGACAATGGCTGCGTGTTTGGCTGCCAGAGTCTGACCGTGTCTGGGCTCCCCGGCAGCCTCCAAGGGAAGGGCACATGTGATGTTCCTGCACCCACGCATAGGCATGAAAGCAAAAGACTTCAAGTGTTTTCAGCCCTGCTTCTAGCGTTACTGGGCTGAAGGGTGTGCACTAGGACCTGGGAGAGCATCTCTAGGTCTCCGGTCCTGCAAGTCTCCTCGGAAATACCATCTGGACACTGTTAACCTGCAGCATAGTGTTTGACAGAAAGCAGCTGAAATCGAAAGAGTCGCTGTGTTAGCGGCGCTATCGTGTTGTGGTAGATGGCAACCTGAACGCCGCGAAATGGCATTCAGTCGTGCATGCATGTACAACAGTGCAGTGTGCTTGTAGTAACCTGCAAGCCCCTCACATGGAAGAAGTACAGCCAAATGAAGCTGACGATGAGAACACCTGCTGCACCTTGTTGGAACCGCCGCACGGCCTGCGTTCCGCTTTGGTGACATAGGGCATGGCATAGCAAGAACAATAAGCGCCGGCACCTCGTCTCCCTGGATGTTCAAGCCTCCAACCAAGCTTGCGACCTCCCATGGTTCCCCATGACATCGCTAAGACATTGCTGCTGCACATGAAACTGAATGCTCCTATCTACCCTGCAGACGTTTCAACGTATCTTGGCCTGCTCCTGTGAAGCAGTGGCCACACCAAGCAAGCCCAGCATCAGCAGAATCGCAAACAGTGCCTTGGGAGCTGAAACGAACTCACCAATGATTTCGCAACGCCGGCAACTGCAACAGCTGGGAAAGGTGCTACAGCTGCAAAATATGTTCAGGCAAGCTTAACTGGCCCAACCGCCGACTCGGAAAGCAAGCTAGTTCCATAGGGCTTCCCAGTACAACAAAGCACACAGACCCGTTCTTTCTGGGAAATAGTAACGAAAGAAAACCGGAGCTGGTGTCGCATACTCTTCAGATCCGACAGCTGCCTGCCCAACGGGTTCAAGACGCAAGTTGCCCTCCGCTCTTGCTGTCAAAGATTAGCAATGATCAGCGGGTCTCTTGATATCTGTGAAACCATCGCTACAAAGCCCTGCTTGGGGAAGCGGCAAGGCTGAGCAGCAGGATCATCGGTAAGGCAAGCAGCGAAGGCACCCTGCGGATCATGTTCCCAGCCTGCTCTCGCAGCTGAAACATTCCGTCTGCAGCATCCGACTTCCGACTTCACGAGCGCAATCCTCTACATGCACAAGGAACACACCACAAGCTCATCATGCTGCCTCGCTAAGCAGGGCAAGCACGACTCTAAACTGCTTCGCCAACGACAGCACCTGATCTCGGCACTAGAAAACCCCAAGCAAACTCCGAGACCAAGAGAAAGCTGGCATCTAGCGTAAGATCGAAGCAGTGCAGGCCAAGAGCATGATGGCCACGGCCAGCAAGCACCCGCTGACTGCGAACCACCTGAATTCGGAAGTCTGCTATCGGCTTTCATGGCAAAGCACGACTAGAAGAGATCTATGGCGAATTGCAGCGAGTCGTGTCGACAGGCTGAGGTCAGCCACTGCATTGTGGCCTGGTTGCTGCTGGCTTGAGTGAGCCTCTGATCTCAAGAGGACTTTGCTTCGCTGCCCGCAGAATGTCGAGAATGACTGTGGCGCGAGCAGGCTTTCTGCACCGGATGGTACTGTAATGGACAGGCTGGACAAGAACCTTCAGCTGAGAGCCCGAGGCTGAATCGCGGAAACGGTGTCAGTGCAGGACTGCTGCAGTTGCGCTCCAGTCCTGCACGGCTCATATAATTCCTCTACAGGAATAAAAGGGATTGAGCGGATTTCTTAAAGTCAGAACGAACTACTTGCATGAACCTTCTCAAGCTTGAAACTGACGGGTCAGGGCTTCTCGGAGCGAAGAGACACGGCTCCTTCCACTCGCGATGCCTCCCTGGACGAAAAGAACCTGTGGAAAGTTGACCGACGACATCTGCAAAAAATTGTGACCAAAGCCAGGTAAACCGCGGTCGGCACGTAATCCGCCAGGATGAGTGCTACAAACACAACCACCAGCAGCGAAAGCCTTAGGCAGTTTGCGAAGAGGCTCTGCGACCCCGCAAGCGCTTTCGCCGCACTCAGGCTCACACAGCACAGGAGGTGCGCATATCGGAAACCTGAAATAACGGTTATCTGATAACCGAAGCCCTTGGGGCTTCGAAAGCATTCGTCGCAGGGATCTAAAGGTGGGATCGGAGAGTCTGAGACTGCAGCAGGAGCATGATAATCACAGACATCACAGCTGAACCGCCAACCTTTGCAGAGGCAGGCATAAGCTCAGGCTTCACAGGAAAGGTCCCAAAGAATGTGTTGGGATGCTGGCTCCCAGCCCAAGTATCAGTGCCTGCCGACTCAGAAGTGAGGCTGCGCATCACGTCCCGGCCGTCTCGGTATCAGGCGTAGTTGCTACTGATGGAGTTCCCCACAGAGTACACCGGGCCTTGCAACGAAAAACTTGGATTCACAAGCTCCTGTGCGATGGATGCCATGGTCAGTGCAAAGCTCTCGACTAGTAACGGAGGTGAGGAGGTTGTATGCCACGCCTTGCATTGAAGTTTCGACCCCCCCTCCAAGCGTCTCGGTACACTGAGGTCCATTCTGTCGTCCAGCGGCCTGTCACACTCGACATGGCGGTCTAGACTCTTCCAATCTCTTCCGGCTTCCGGCAGTCCAATGTGGCAACAACACATCATCGGTAAAAGACAGAACGCGAAGATTGTGGCGAAGACCTTTTGCCAACACGGCTGAATCAGCGGGCTGCAAGCCCACAGCAACAATCGCCACGCCGCCAAAAACTTACGAAGACTATCGCAAGGTACTGCCCCCTTTTTCGGTCGAAGCATAAATTGTGCCGGCCGGGCATACCGCCCAGAAACCCGGTGCCGGAGCCGTGGCGCGCACTTCTGCGCCCCCGGCGATTGCAGGGCGGGTGCCGGCTTGAAGGAAATCGGCGGAGTGTGCGGGAATTCCAAAGGGGCGATGGAGCCGAGACGCTGGCCGGTCGATCGGTCGATCGCTAGCGCCGCTAGCGACTGCACCTACACGTACATGTGCATTACACAACAATCGCCACGCCAACGACATGTTGTTAGCCAAAATCTACACAAGCAGAAACGCGCAGGGCCCCTTTTGGTCGAAGCGCGAACTGCGGGCCGGGCATGGCTCAGGTGCCGCATGTCACGCGAAGTCGATGTCGGTGTCACTCGGTGGCCGCATCCGCGAAGATCATCATGACCTCGTCGACTGGGGTGTGGACTTGGGGTCCACGCCCTGTCAGCCGCCACCCCCCAAAACGATGCCAGGTCACTGCCAAGCGCCGTTGTCGATGAAGGCATCTTAAAATGAGGGGGAAGGCGGCGCGGGCGGAAAGTAGCCAACGGGAGGACCTGTGCGAAGATCTCGAGGAGATGAAGGCCTAGTGCTAAAGAAGTGCCCGTCGAGCATCAGGACGAAGCCGTTAGTCACCGCTAATCAAGTTACAGTCCAGCAGGTGGGAAGCGGGAAAATCACCCGAAATGTCCCAGTCAAAGCGAAGGGCCTGGCAAGGCGTGACCGAAGCCAGGCGAAGGCGATCCCAGCGCCTACGCTTGGCGGCCCATCCCAGTTGACATCCAGCCACCACAAGCGAAGGTCGGTTTGGCCAGGCCGCTTTTGGCCTTGACGAAAGGCTTGGCTTAGCAACGCCCTTCGAACAGCCACCCTGGCTCAGAGCGGTGGCCGTCCCATCAGACGCTGCCATAGTCGCTGCCCACGACAGAATTGTACTGGCGTCCACCCCGGCGTGCTCCCCATTCTCGGCGGCGAGAGCAGCCCAAGAGTCGGCGCCGGAAGGCGTGATGAACGGCGAGGTGGGCGAAAGGTGGGAGATGACAACTCAGAAGTGCCGATCGAGCCGAGACGCTGCCCGGTCGATCGATAGCGATCGTACACACACGTGCGTTACAACTCAACAGCATTCCGCTATTCTTCCGGAGTGTGATCAAGCTCCCACAGATTTGATGACTGCACATGTGCAGAAAGTTTCAAGCGGAGTGCCTGATCGACACGTCAGCTTCGCGCCGAAGCTGCTGTCGGCAATCCGACCCCTGCGGTCATGCGAAGAAGCCCCTGCAGAGAGGCAAGCTACGTACCTCGATATGCCGTTGGCGCTTAGGCCTTGGAAGTCCCAGCCATTGTCGCCCTCGCCTAGGTCACCAAACGTTCTTGAATGGCAGGATGATTTCACGAATCTGCAGAGTGCGATGAACATCGATGCCAAGGGCTCATCGGCTGTGCTGACTAAAGTCGGCGGGGACGGTAACGCCTAAACCCTGCCCAATGCGGAAGGGAAGGGCACCCTCCGGGCTGAGCCTTGGTTTGTTCCTTTTGCAGCACGTGGCTCAGAGCAGGCCGGAGTGTGTCTTGTGTTGCGTAAGTACATGTTGCAAATAGCAAGCTTGGTCGATATTAGCTTTAGGTTTGCTTACATTGGAGATGCTCTCAAATTCTGCGCTTAGATCGCTCAGGTTCCTGCTTCAAGAGTGCGCATTAGCGCTTACGGCTGGAGAGATTCCCACACTAGATCAGTCCTCAGCACAGGGGTCGGAGGAATGCCTGGGGCCTGGTCTTGGTGCTGAGACCGTTCTCGAGCAGTGCTCCGCGCATCCATGGATGACGGTGGGTCACACACAGCGCCCACGCAAAGTCTTAGATCAAAAAGGGTGGGCGCCAGCACCCCCCGCCCCTGCCGGTCGCACGCTGCGAACTCGCTCTTGCACACTTATGCTGTCGGGTGATGCTCGAAGGAAGGCCGGGTGCCAAGCGCTGATCACTGCACTGTCAGCTCCTTCGGCACCTTTGTGGAAGCGACTGAGCACTTGCTGCGCACCGATACTTGCACCCTTGAGTAACTAATGGCTGAGGAGCCCACGCCAACCGTCTTCTATGGAGGTGTCAGGAGCTTCGAGAAGCCAATACTTGTCCTTTGAAGACATCTATGAGCAAACTGAATAATGCGCGTCTGCACGGCCAGTTCGTGGGTCCGTCCCGTCTCTCGTCAGACCGCATACCTTTGGACCCAAGGCAGCTCGTGTTTTGCAACCTTGCATAGTGACATCGGGCCTGCTGTGGCTTGGTCGGCGCCCCGACGATGGGCTGACATGCCGGTGAAGCGCATAACCTGGGCGGAGAAAGGGAAGTGAGTCCGAATCGGGCATGTGACCTGAAGCCCATGTAAATGCCACTCAACCCTGCTGTGGGCACTGCTTGGTGCTGCTTTGATCAGCTGGCCGCTGGTACGGCACGCAGCCTGAGACATTGGCTCGCTTTCACTCAAGCCGTCCAGGCCAGACACTGCACAAAGATGGGCCATGCACGTCCAAAAACTGCGAAAGAAGGCCTCATCTGCAGTGTACCGGTATGAGGAATCCAAGATATTTCTACGACAGTCTGGGCACGATGCTGCAGAACTACCCACTCGGCCTGGCGCCTGAGCGAGAAGTCCAGAGGCTAAAGCAGCTTGAAGCTAGAGAAATTGCTGAGTTTCCGAGTTGCAGCACATGTTGCCATAGTCCTGGACGGTGCTCCCCACTGCTGGGCCTAGACTCATTCACAAAGACTCTCGGGGAAAAACTTTTGACCCCAAGCTTGCTTTGGAAACTCGGATGTTGGCATCCGGGAAGGCAGATCCCGTAGCGTTGCCGTAGAGACGGGTCCTCCACGGCAGCATGTTGCAGCTTATCCCGTGAAGGACCTTAGAGCAAGAACCTTCGTCTTCCACCTCCTGTCTGTGAAAACGCATCTCGACGATTTTCGGTGGGTTCTGGGCTAGAACATCCTCTTCAGTGTCCCAGGTCCCAGGGCTTGACCAGGAAGCCATCGCTAGCGAAAAACTCTTTGGTGCTTCGACGGAAGGATACTGAAGGCATTGCTGAGGAAGGAGCTTAGGCTTGCTGTGAAGGCACAGACACAGCAAAGACAGGACAAATCCAACAGCATTCGACACCTGCCACAATCCTACCGTGTTGTTCGGAGCTTGCCAGGTGCTCCATCTCTCAGCGTCAACCAAACTTCGTCCTTAGCGAAATCCGTCTCCAAGTCCGGGTAGAAGGCATAGGCACTGAACGGGACAAGGTCGCTCTGAGAGCTTTTGAACTCATCTCTCTTAAGGCCATGGCCTCGCAGCTTGCGTTCCAAGCCCGCACAAGTTCCCGTCATGGTCACGTCCATGGTCGATGCGCCTGCGTCTTCGTTTTCGGGGAGAGTGGAACAGAACGGAAACGGAAAAGCAACGCACGGCAAAGCAAAAACTTGCGACGGAAGCTTCTGCTTGTCCGGAGCGGGCCGCACGGGCCTTAGGTCTCCGACTTTGCTGAAGAGGACCAAGAGAATACCATTTCCTGCCCAGTAGCACCACACACCATAAGAAGTGCGAAGGCAGTGTTTCTGGGTTCCCCAGACCGACAAGGACGGTGGCAAACAAGATGCAGCAAGGGAAGTCGGTGCATCTTCCTTGGTAGTCCCCCCATCTCTGCAAGTGTCTGCTGGTCCGCCTCTTGGGCCAGCAACGCCGTGGCGGGGGACCAGGATTTGCTCTGATGCCTCCGACAGCAGGGTCAGTAGCAGGACACATGATAGCCTGCAAAAAGCTGCTTCCACACCAAATTCGAGCTTAGCTGCGCAGTGGCTCCTCAATCCTAAGTCATGCACAACTTTGTTTGACACACTGGCTCCTGAAGCGCAGTTTCGTCGCTTGCGTAATGTAAGCTCCACACTCCGCACTATCATGGGAAAGGCAGCAGCAACCTTCGCCACTCTGATCCCGGTATTCTGTTCCAAGGTGTGTGACAAACATGCCAGGCAGAACCCATGATCGGTGCTCAGAATTCGCATGCGGCTCGTTGTTTGCTCTAATCTAATTTTTGCTGTATCATGATTTAATTGCGCGCCTGTCAAGTTAACACCAAGCAGCTGTGATTTCATTTTGGTTGCGGGGCCTTGCTGGGCATCCCTGGAAACATCTGTGCCAGACCCTCGGGGCTTCTGGGGTTTCGAACCAAAGCCGATGCCGGCGAATGCGTGTCAATGTGTCAATGTGTAGGCCGAGCGGAGCAGCAAGCATGCGCCAACACAAGCGCACCCACCACATACAAGTCCAGGCCTGTTCATGGTCTTTCTCCAGGCTGAAACAATTGCCCGCCACGCACCATGCCTGTCTGCAAACTGCAAATCTCCTGCTGTGGAATGCAGCCAGAGCTCTGCCAGGAAAGCTCAGCGGTCCGTCGGAGCACCAGATTCTGTCTCATTGACTCATTGACGATAAGTGCCTACATCCCTTTGCCCCAACTTGCTACTGCACAAAGAAAGGGAACGATTGATGGGGTCAAAAATGCTCGATGATGGAGGTCGCTGGCTCTTGCGTGTATTGTCGTGTATTGGAAGCTGCTCAGTTGCAGAGTAATTACTAGTAGTGAAGATTGTGGCGACGCAAGCTGCCAGCCTGGGGGCGTAGCCGGCTCCACCTCGTAGGTTTGTCAGAACCACTCACATCTCACAACATTCTTGCGTGCTCTCACAGATAACGCGCACAGGCCTTGTGTGGAGGTGCTTTGGTGGAGCGGTTCGAGGAGCAGTTGTGGAGCTGTGATTAACGGCAGTTGGGCTGGCCTGGCACACTACTGGTGCGATCAGCCAACCTCCTGAACCTTACCCCATTCCTTAGTGGTCCCACGCGGTCCAACCCCTCTTTTTGGGTTTTCAACCCTGCATGGAATCCAACACCAAATCTGCTCGTGCCAACTCTTCGGTCAAGCCATTTGTTTACTCGGGCTTCGTGTCCCGGTGTGTCCGGTCTTTTGTATCTCACCGACTCACCGATGCACCGCCAAATGCACAGAAGGATCTCTGCGGGCGTGCGAAGTTCTGCGGTGGAAAGAGCGCGGTACTGGCCTGGGGAGCCGTGCACTACGCACGAATCGACTGCGCAGGATCGAGATGGATCGAGACTCCCAATCCGATCGCTCATGCACTTTACTTTCGGCAGGATCGGATGTCATAACATGCCACGAATACCACATGCTTCATTGGCCCATGCAGTTCAACACGCTAGAGCTGAGATGAGCTGAATCAGCACAACCAATGGCGGAGGGGCAAGTAGGTGCAGGATGTGAAGGCTTTGAAGAGGTGCCTGCTTTGACCTGCTTTGCATCCCCTGTGGTGAGGACCCGAGTTTTGCTAGAGTTCAGAGGAGACTGATGGAGAAAAAGACGTCCAAGGCAGCCGCTCTAAGACTTGTCTGGAGAGTTGACCAAGCTCCAGTCGGTCCTCGACAAGCATGTGTCAATGTGTCTGCCGCTCCTAACATGTCCGAGGCACGACAGGCTAAGGCATCTTGGGGAGGCTTGTGCGCCACTGCGGCACGGCAAGTCTTACACGGTACGTCTGCGCTGACAGATGGTCCCCCAAGTGCCAAAGGGTGGTCGAATAATACCTGTGACAGCAAAACACACCGGCCACGGGGACACAGAGACGTCTCGCTTGCGGGCGCGCTCCAAGCCCAATGACGAGTGGAACTTGTGCAGAGAAGAACAGCGCCTCCAGCAACGAACGAAGTGCTTTCTGTACGCCGGGCTGCGGGGCTGAGGCTCTGAGTCAACGGCTTGTACAGGATCGCAGCATCGCGGTAGTTCTGGAGTTCAAAATTACAGCGGGCGGCCAAGTCCTGCAGAGTCGCACAACGATGCCCAAACCGACGGCATCGACGTGCACCCAGGGCCACAATGCCTGTCCTGGCAGAAGGCTGACTCTCGCTCGTGGCTCGGCAGTTTGCTCAGAATCTCGAGAGCCTTGGTCACATCGGCAGAGCCCAGACTCTTTGAGAAAAGCTTTGGAGCTGGACGTCTTGACAGTGGAAGCGGTGGACAGCATGGAGAGCCTGATCGTGATGGCAGTTGTATCCACATCAAACACTGCTGCCGCCGCCTCCCCAACTCCTTTCAGCACCGATACGGCCATCATCTCCTGATGCCAGAATATATCGGGGACATCCGTTACCTACAGTATGGAACTGTCGGAAAAGGCACAAAGAGCGTTCACGAAGGACACAAAGGGTACTCTTCTTGGAGTTAAGGATATTTCCGGACTATGCACATCGAAGCGAAATTGAAGAGCGACACCGCCACGCGGCCTTGGCAGACGTGCTGCTGACCTGCAAGGACATGTTGCAGACTATGCAGCCGCATCAGCCGCATGAACTCGTGAGAAACACCCACAAAGCCATCGTTGGTGCTACGATGCGGTATGTACAGTTCCACGTTGCCGTTTCTCGGCAAAGCTTTTCGATTTGCAATACCGCCCGAAACATTATGGGAGCCCTAGATCAACAGGAGCCTGTTTATCACCTCTTCTCGTAAGCAATTCTTCTGCTCTGCGCATAGCCCATGCTGAGGCTTGGTCTGATGTCGAGCAGCCGGCTGCTTTCGGGCCGGGAGATGGTGATCCGTCGGCGAGCGGCAGCCTGAGAACGGATGTGAGAAACAACTCGAGAGAGCAAAGACGAATCTGCCAAGATGCTGCGGAAGCTTCGTGAGCACCTCGCCATCTCAGCATCGACAAGAGGGTGATATCGGGCATCCGAACACACCGCCTCTGGAGCCGAAGGAGATCCTGGACCCTGTCCACAGTCAGATCAGCTCCGTTATAAAAGCAACGGTAAAGCGCTTCTGTGGGCTTCTGTCCCTCGCCTTTCTTGGTGAGAAAATCGCGCGCACTTTCGACGGCGAGGTCGCTTTGCCTGGAGCCTGCGGTTGTCAACTGACAAGATGTGCGGAGCCACTGGCTTTCTAGCCGCTAGCCCCTGGCCTTGTTTTGTTTTTGGCGCTTCTCGAAACTCCGACTGCGCATTCTCTTGCGTGGAGTACGAGGTGTCCACCCCCGAGCTACGATGTCTTCCCCGGGAGTTGCAACACAGGCACCGGACAATGGAGTCGATGCCTTGTTGGACGGATTCAGGGCTGCATCCACAAAGTCCCTGGGGGACTGCCCAGGACGGCTGTCTTGCCGGCACAGCGATAACCAGCTGAATCGCTCGAAGGCACCCCACATATACGGGCACTGTTTCAGGCATGCTGCATAGCAGTCCAAGGCTTGATGCTTCCTGCCCATTCCCTCTGCCGCCCGTCCAAGCTGATAGGCGCCCGCGGCGCCTTCGACTACATGTTCCAGAGGCTGCATTTGTCCATTGCGCCACTTTTCCAGCAGATCGATATTCCCAGCTAGTAAGGCAACCTCTGCCTCATCGTAGTGCTCCAGCCTGATGCAAGCCAGAGCCAGCAAGTAAAGTACACGAGGTGATAAAGATCGTGAGCAATGAATTCCCTGCAGCTGGTGCCGCACACGTGAAGGTTCGCCAGCAGAGAGCAATGCTTCTGCCCACAACTCAAGCACTCTACCACCCTCCACCTCTGGAAAGGCTGGTAAACGCTCGGCCAGAAACGCAGCTTCGTGAAAGAGGTGATGATGCAGAAAATTCTCTATCCATCTACAGGATTGCGATGGGTCTGCATCCAGCAGTAGACTAGGCAATACTGCCATTGCACAGTCTCAGCGCACGCATCTTTTCATGACAGAGTGGGCACAGACTCGTTGCTCAGGACTCTGCTGGACTACTGCTCTTATCCCCGACGAATCGACTAGAAATGCAGAGATGTCCACCGATCTCGTTATCTGTGTCGGACAAAAAGGCTCGTTTTCAAATTCTGCGGAGCAAACAGGAAGTGTGTATGAGGACACGTCCATGGTAGTTCATGCAGCATCTGATGATCTACATGCAGCACCGACAAGCTCTGCAAAAAGAAGCGCTCTTTGTTGCTTGGCTGCATTTACTGTAAAGGCCTGCGTGCATTCTTTGAGGCACCCAAACCTTCATTGGCGAAACTTCCATTCCCGGCGACACATAGGACACCTCCGATATGTGCTCTGCATGGTTCTGTGCTCGTTCCCGAGAACTTCACAAACTTAGGAGTCCACTGTTTCTGCTCCTTCTGCAACCACTTCATGATGCAGTGAATGTGAAAGTGATGTCCGCACTCTCCTCGTCCAAAGAATGCCACGACTAGGAACTTCTTTGAGTACAGCTCTGTTGCACTGCTACAAGCCCATGCCACGTAAGCCTGGAGCAATGTCTTGCCGGCTGCGGAAAACCCCCCCGAAGCACAGTGCTGGGGGCACGGCCCCATACTGGTGGACAATCATCACCTGCAACTGACCGCATAGCTCACTCTCCTAGCTAACTCACCATCTGGTTCACTCTTTACGGCTTATTCTGTCTCCCGCCTGGCATCTTGCATTCTGGGCAGCATGCGTCGAACGGCATGCCTCGTTCAGTCCCCTTCTGGCTAGTGCCGGCGTGAAGTCCCAGTGATGGTGGCGGAGAGAGAGAGAGAGAGAGAGAGAGAGAGAGAGAGAGAGAGAGAGAGCGAGAGTGTGTGTGTGTGTGTGTGTGTCTGTCTCTGTCTCTGTCTCTGTCTCTGTCTCTGTCTCTGTCTCTGTCTCTGTCTCTGTCTCTGTCTCTGTCTCTGTCTCTGTCTCTGTCTCTGTCTCTGTCTCTGTCTCTCTCTCTGTCTCTCTGTCTCTGTCTCTGTCTCTCTGTCTCTCTGTCTCTCTGTCTCTCTGTCTCTGTCTCTGTCTCTGTGTGTGCGTGTGCGTGTGCGTGTGCTTGTTTCGCGCTTGTTTCCTAATGCTGGCTGGCCCTCCCCAATTTTTCTTTGTTCTTGCTCCAAACACTGTAGACTGCAGCATTTGTTTCTGGCTGTTCACAAGCTCGATTTGTGGTAAATTGCTCGTGTTTGGCTATTCACAAGCTCCAATTGTCGTCAATTACAGCCTTTCCGATTTTTCTGAAGCTTCCAACCCTGTGAATTACTGAATTTCTGAAATGTTGTCAATTGCAGCTGTTCGGAGTGTTCACAGACTACAGCATTTCCAACAGTCTCACGTGGTTGAAACAAAATGCTGTAAATTGCAGCATGTGAACATGTTGACAAGCAAGCTCTACATGTTGCAAATGCCACGTGCAAAAGCAATTATCGTTTGTTTGGCAAGAATCCATGAAAGAATGCACCTAGATGACACAACATTCAACAAATTTACACTGCTCCAAAAAGCCCGTGGTTGTTTAGAAAAAGATTCATGAAGGAATGGACACTGATGATACGACATACATCGAAGCAGATTTGAACGGCATTAATACAAGCGGGATGCTGATGACCACATTGGTAGTGGTAGTAGTAGTAGTAGTAGTAGTAGTAGTAGTAGTAGTAGTACTCGCCGTCGTCGAGGCAGTTGCTGTAGCAGCAGTAGCAGCAGTAGCAGTAGCAGCAGTAGCAGCAGTAGCAGCAGTAGCAGCAGTAGCAGCAGTAGCAGCAGTAGCAGCAGTAGCAACTAGTCATAGTCATAGTAGTAGTAGTAGTAGTAGTAGTAGTAGTAGTAGTTGTTGTAGCAGCAATAGCTATCTCTTGCCCCAGAAACGTAACAAATCGTAACAGCACCTTGCAAAGCCAAAAACACATGCTCTGCACGAATTCGGGTGCAACTACTGTAAACCAGTCGCTCCGCTTCAGCCATTTAAGATCCTGCTGCGTGGTGTAGACAATCAAGCGGCCGAACTGTCAAAGCTGTGACGCGTGCCAACTTTGGCCATCTGTCGATTTTGAAGCAAATACCAAGAGCAGCAGCTGATGTCATGGTGCAAAACTCTCAGACCCAGAAACTGCAACTGCGGCACGACAAATGGAACAGCACTCCTCGTCAACCTGCCAGATGTGTGGGCACGCTGAAGTACATGCACGCAGTGTACAAACTTGAAACCCGCTGCGCCCTTGCCTCCCAAAGCCATACGGCCACTGGGCGATAGCCTGACACAATCTGGCGAGCCCAATTTGACGCATTCCTTCAATTCACCTCGACTGCTAAATCAGCCAGCAGTGCTTTTCACCATTATTCGCATTGCAGCCGCTGGTGCCGCTGGCGGCGCCAAGGCAACTCCAAAATGATGCTGGGTATATGCTTGGTTAGTCCTATTCGGCGCCTTACTGGACTTTACGTGGCAAAGCCTGTGAATGTCAAGACCGGTCCTCTTGCGGCTCGAATGAGAACCCAATGGTACGTGACCAGCATTGCCTCTAAACATGAAGCCAATGTCGGCAGGCCAACTGCACGCATTTGTCATTTGTCGTTGTGGAGACCCGGCAACATCTGCTGGTTGAACATCTTTTTTCGGCTTCGGAGGTTCTGGAGCGCCAGCTTGTGATTCTTGAAGAGGATGTTTCAACTATCCTGCAATAGAGTAGCACAAGGTGCGCGTGAATGCACTGCGAGATTGATACTTCTTGTGGCACCGACGAGGCTGAGAGTCTGGTACCATTTTGACACAGAGAAAGACTCAAATGCCACTGGACATATGGCTAGAGTCTAGAGAGCTGTCAAGTGACCTCCTCGAGGTGCTCCACACTTGTAGCACTCACTGGCCTTGGCGGTTCTCTCTTCTGAGTAGACTGTAGCCAATCCTCATTTAAGGACTCGCTCAGGTCCTGGCGGATGCGAAATTTTTCTGACCGCAGGCACCACATTCCCATTTGACTTGCCTGAGACAGAACACGCCTTGTCTGTGCAAAACAGAGCTCTGGCGTGAACTAGTATCCTGATCCAACACCCACCCCGACATCCCGAGATCGGGACTGTTTGCGAGCGGCATCCGCCGCGGCGCTGGCGGCGCGTTCCTCCCCGACTGTGCATTGACAAACCCGTGACTACTCATAACTGCTACATGCCGTGCCTCCTCGGCATACCGACCCTCTCCACAGCGCCTCTGCACGCTGGCTGTACGTAAACTCGATGTGCACACTATTGCATGATTTTGCACCGCAAAAAGTGCGTCTGCCGGCGGCTGCAAGTACGGACACACGAGGCACTGGAGTCAAGAAGCCGTGAAGCCGGACAGTCAAGGGACCGCAGAGCAGCAAACCAGGGAAGCCAAGAAGCCGCAGGAGTCGAGGAGCCACGAAGCGCCAAAAAGAGACATTCTACATCAGGAAGCTTGGAAGCATCTCGGAGCCAGGACGGCGCGAAAGCAAAGAAGCCGACAAGCCGTGCATGCCGGCGCCATGCCCTCACCCTCCTGGGCCCTCAGATGGCTAAGCTCCAACAACCCATAACTCTTCCGGGCCTCAGACCTTGCTCACGTACAAAAACCGACAGGCAGAGAGCAGGAGAGAGATGAGAGAGAGACGGACAGATCCGGGGCGTCATGCCAACTGATAACTCCTGGGAACGGATGGCAACTCAGGAAGGACAAGTAGCACGCATCCACAGCAGCAGTGGCTTCTCTTCGAGGTCAGAAGAAATGTTCTGTTCCTGGTTTTTCTTGTCCATCTTTTTCCATGTTCAAGCGCGCTGCGGGCACTCACGGTGCTCCCTGGGCGGGGACCCGCAAAACATCACATCAGTTGCCTCGACCTTGTGTTTGTGCAACTCTTCATCTTGCTTTCGAGCACACTTCGCCAACGCCTCAAAATCTTGGCTCGTGCACGAGTGTGCGAGCAGAAGAATTCAGCTAGCGTTCTCTTGCTTGGGAAAGAATAAACTCAAAAACCCTCCTTCGCAGCGATAGCTGATGGTTGGGCCTGCCCTGCTTTAGAAAGCAGAAGAGGGTCAGGGTGTAAAGTCAAGCTGCATCCCTGCTGCCGAAAGCCAGACAGAAGACATCGACGAAAACTCAGCCCTCTGCGTGCAGGAATCGGAAGAATCGAAGTTCATCGTCCCTGACACGGGCTGTTTCAGGCAACTTCACCGCATGAACCGGCGACTATGACTAAGCACCGGACCGCATGCCCTGCACGTCCACTTGGTTTTGCGGGCAGGAGGTGGGGGCCTCGGCCGAAAGCTCCTTCGGATTCGCCGGCACAGGGCTTTCGTGCGCATGGGTAAACTGCATGCTAAGCTCACAAGCGGTGGCAGATCACGTCCCGGAATTCCGCAGACCTCGATTGCAAGAAGCCAGCTGGCCAAGTTGCTTGTCAAAATCTGTTCGAGCCGCATGCACTGTGCAGCACCAGCGAAAACTGCCTGAAGCTCCGTGTGGCGGCAAAGCATGCAAGTCAGAAGAACAGCAAGCAAGCAAGCAAGCAAGCCAGCGATGCTCATCCGAAGAACCGTTGGCTCCGTGCTTCTGGATGGTGATCGACTCCACCTGCCGGCTTCGACGAAAACAGACCCACCGACAGAACCCACTTGAGGGCACCCTCTCCAACACGAGGCGTGTCTCGTCGTCGGGCTGCACTCGCCCCTGTAGCATCGGCCTGAACAGTCTTCCGGCCACGGCTGCACGCACTATAGCAGGCACCCAGTCTCGTTTACAATCAAATCAGAGGAGCTGAAAGTCTCGAAAATGCATCTCGTGGCGGCCCGCTTCTGCTGTGAACCTTGCGGATGCAACTGCAGAAAATCAATGCGGTGTGTCATGTGTAGCAAAGGCCCACACTTGAAAGCATGCTGAATGCCGGCTGGCGCACCCAACATCCGCAGTCCGACCTTAC